AAAAATTTACATTATTGTCGTAAACAAATACGACGGCTGCTTTATTTACAATTTACACCATTTGCGCTAGATACAATATTTGATTCTTGTTAAAAAGGGAATATTTTGTGTTTTTAATTGTTATTGTTTTTTTGAAAGTTGATTTCACCGCACGACTTGCGAGGCATGTGATTGTCACGTGATCGTAATTGACATAGCGCGGCAAAATACTTTTACACTTGCAGGACAAAATGTCACACAACTTCTCTTTGCAAATTAGGTAAATCATGACTATTTATATCACTTCTTACATCCTATTGACTGTAACATTATGATATCGTTAGCTACAAGTGTAGGATGTAGTATAAAGATAGTTCTTAGGAATATGCTCAAAGTTATTTGAAAATGAAAGTAGAATTTACATACTGATCATTACGACGGCAAAATGAAAACTTCTCGAAAGTTCCCAACACGCTGATATAAAAAACAATAAACAAATTATTTCAATTATTAATTTATCTTTTTGTATTTATCTTTTTGTATTTATATTTTTTCATGTTTCCACATCAATCTATGTCTGATTGATATAGGGCATTTCACTTCCGGTTCAGACAACACAAACAGCTTGATCGGTTATTATGATATATCGGTTATTATGCTTTTTTCTCTGGCAAATACGATATCATAATAAGCGGGTTCCACTGTAACAAGATTTAGCAATAGTGGAATACTTTCGCCATTGGAGCCAGTGGTGACCACAAGCGCAAGCCTTTGCGTGAAATGATGAAGAAAAAGAGACATTATTGAGCTTTTCTACCTGAACATCTTATTACTATACAACATTTCTATTGGTTTAAAAAGAAATTTTACCAATATAGTTGTTAGTCAGACATAAAATATCTAAATCAATCAATAGCAATATAAAATATAACAGTCTACCCCTTCGGGAACCTCAAAGGTGCCTGATTCAATTATTCGGAATATCTTCAGTTTGAAATTGGGAACGCCTTTAGGTTGTATAGATTTAAGAGTTATCTGATATCTGAGTTATCCAAGAGCTTGTAATTAGCAACAGAACCAAACACACGTAAGCCCTTCACAGTGTTTGGCAACATATGTCAAAATCTGGGCTGAAACCAAAATGAATAGTCCCCGCTGGGGTTCCCCCAGGGGTGACTAAAAACTGTATGTTATATTAACTGACTAGAAATTTAGAAAACACCTGGATGAGTGTGTTCGCGAAAGACGAAACGGGTTGCATCAAAAATGCTATATGAATGATATAAAACTTTATCAGACGTCACTTGTCACAACAACAACAAAAAATGTAGACAACTCACCCAGCGGCTAAAAAACTGTCCTCTGATAAACAAAATCAAAACCAAAATAACGACAAAGTTTCAAATTCAAAAACTCTAATTATAGACGAGAAATGATCTCAAACTATTTAAATGATATTATGGCAAACGTCAGCATTGGTAAATAAGTATATTCCTAAAAAACACAAAATTTGCCATGAAACTACGGGAGCAAGTCTTATCGGCCGCTAACCGGAAGTTCTTTTCAAATATTTGCTACTTCAGAAAGATTATGGTAGGTGCAAAGTACACACTATTCATCATGTGACCTATATTTTTCCCATAATATGTTGTATTTGCTGGTCACCAATATAAACAACATTGCGGCATGAACACTTGTAAATTCATCATCAAATATTTATGAAGACTTATTAAGTTATTATGGATATCTTACAATAAATTATGATAAAATCTAGTTGTACATGTATTTAGAAAACTTAACAACTTTGTGACCAAAATCAAACCCCATTGGGGACCCACTCAACCAAGCTATATTTTGACCTGAGTTGCAGGTACGTAAACCATTAAATCATTAAGGACGGTTAAACAACATATACCCTGAAATCGCAAAGGACAGTAAGCCATCATACACCCTTAAATCACTAAGCACAGTAAGGCAGCATACACCCTTAAATCACTAAGCACAGTAAGGCAGCATACACCCTTAAATCACTAAATGCGCACAATCATGTCTATGTTTAACATGTGCAAAATAGTCAAGCTAAACAAATTCAAGCATTAACAATAGTATGTGGAGATCACAGAGAGGGCAAACAGTGTAGTTTGCTTAGAAAGGTTATGGGGTTCAGCATGAAGGCTTTCCTGCGTAGCCTACACACGTAATTACAGAGTGATGTCTGAAGCGTATTTTTGAGGAATCATGTATGATTGTCCATGTAAAGACAAGGTAGAACCTTAAAACCCTTGTTATGAAAGAAACCTGTGCTTAATACAAATGCTACTCATATGTTAACATATTTTTTTCAAAAAGAAAACATCAAGAGGTGCAGAGGGCCTGTTTTCCTCACCTGGATTTAAGCAATTATGGAAAAAAAATCTAATCAAATATTATAATACAAGTATCTCAAAATATTGGCTCTGTCTCTCAGCAACACCCTTACATTATTGGGTCCCATCCCTCTGCCCCAATTGGGGAGTGGTTAATACAACATTGAATCCTTTGGACCAAGGATACTCTTTATAAAATTTGATTTAGATCCTTTCTTCTGCATTGAACAAAAAAGGATTTTAGGATTTACATCTATTTACCTTACAGGGCCATGCCCCTCTGCCCCCTGGGATTCACACCTTCATGTTACATGAAATTGAGTCCTTGTTGCTCAAAAATGTGTCTTATCTGAATTTGCTTAAAAACCTTACATTCTTAAAGAAGACGAAGGATTTTAAAGATTTACCACTACATCCCCTCTTTGGCACCTGTAAACCCTTTTTGCTCAAAAAAAAATCTTATCTGAATAAACAATACAGTCAGTTGAGATGCAGAATAAACACCATTTAAAATTGCTGGAAATGATGTGAACGAATATTTACTCTTATCTAATGTCTGTGTTGGCAATAGTTGTCAACAAGTACTGAATCAGTACTTCAAAAACGATTAAGCTGTTTTCGATCGTTTTTCCCTGCCCCTCTGCAACTAAGGGGGGGGGGGCCACACTCACTGTTTATACAAAATTACATCCCTTTTGCCCAAGGATGCTCCAGACCAAATTCGAATGAAATCCTTTCATCCTTATGGTAGGAGAAGGATTTGAAAGGTTTTATCTCTATTTCCAATATTCGGCCCTGCCCCTCTGCCCCAAGGGGGGCCATACTCACTGTTTATAAAAATTTAAGTCCACTTGGCCTAAGGATGCTCCAGACTAAATAAGGATAAAATCCCTTAATCCCTACGAGAGAAGAAGGATTTTAAAGGTTTAACCACTATTTCCCTTATTTGGTCCCTCCCCTCTGCCCCCAGGGGGGGGGGGGGGGGGGTGGTCACGCTCCCCGTTTATACAGAATTGAGTCCCCTTGGCCTAAGGATGCTCCTGACTAAATTAGAATAAAATCTCCCTTAATCCCTATGGTAGGAGAAGCATTTTAAAAGATTTACCTCTATTTCCCTTATTCAGCCCCACCCCTCTGCCCCCAGGGGGGCCACACCCACCGTTTATACAAAATTGAGTCCCCTTGGCCTAAGGATGCTCCAGACTAAATAAGGATAAAATCCCTTAATCCCTACGAAGGAAGAAGGATTTTAAAGGTTTAACAACTATTTCCCCTATTTGGTCCCGCCCCTCTGCCCCCAGGTGGGGGGTGGTCACGCTCACCGTTTATACAGAATTGAGTCCCCTTGGCCTAAGGATGCTCCTGACTAAATTAGAATAAAATCTCCCTTAATCCCAATGGTAGGAGAAGGATTTTAAAAAATTTACCTCTATTTCCCCTATTCAGCCCCACTCCTCTGCCCCCAGGGGGGGCCACACCCACCATTTATATAAAATTGAGTCCCCTTGGCCTAAGGATGCTCCTGACTAAATTAGAATAAAATCTCCCTTAATCCCTATGGTAGGAGAAGGATTTTAAAAAATTTACCTCTATTTCCCCTATTCAGCCCCACCCATCTGCCCCCAGGGGGGCCACACCCACCGTTTATATAAAATTGAGTCCCCTTGGCCTAAGGATGCTCCAGACTAAATCAGGATAAAATCCCTTAATCCTTACGGTAGAAGAAGGATTTTAAAGGTTTTACCTCTATTTCCCTTATTCAGCCCCTACCCTCTACCCCCAGGGGGGCCACACCCAACAGTTATACAAAATTACGTCCCATTGGACTAAGAATGCTCCAGACCAAATTGGGATGAAATTGCTTCATCCCTATGGTAGAAGAAGGATTTTAAAGGTTTTACCTCTATTTCCCATATACGGCCCCCGCCACCCTGCCCCCAGGAGGGCAACACTCACTATTTATACAAAATTGAGTCCCCTTGGCCCAAGGATGCTCCAAACTAATTTAGGATAAAATCCTTTAATCCATCCGGTAGAAGAAGGCTTTTTAAAGGTTTTATCTCTATTTCCCATATTCGGCCCCTCCCCTCTGCCCCCAGGATGGCCACACCCACCGTTTATACAAAATTGAGTCCCCTTGGCCCAAGGATGCTCCAGATTAATTAAGGAGAAAATCCCTTAATCCATACGGTAGAAGAAGGCTTTTTAAAGAGTTTTATCTCTATTTCCATTATTTGGCCCCGCCCCTCTGCCCCCAGGGGTTCACACCCACTGTTTATACAAAATTTGGACCAGGTAAGCTAAAAGTGGAATGTTTAAAACTTGCTGGACACTTGGAAATGCTTAACATCTTTTGAATAGTGAAATGGTGACAAAAACCAGCAGACACCCACCTTTAATGATTTCTTTAACAGGAAGATAGCAATGTTCCTTTAACTAGTATATCGATCAGCAACATAACTAGCACCTCTGTCCACATGTTATGTGAAATGAAAATAATGTTTTCAGTTTACAAATTGTTATAAAAAATCTTTGGGGTTTCATAATTGTAATATATGTTTTTTAATTATTGATATGAGATTTCCCTACAATATTTTATTTTTTTGTATTCATTATAAAACGTATTAAACTATAAACATGTCTTGTTTCAGAAGCCACAGATACAGCAGGAGTATGAACCTCTCCCATTGGTTATCATAACCAACTCTGTGACAGCAATGAAAAATCAATTCAAAATGCACATCATAAAATCATTTGCAATGCAAAACTGAAACCTAGAAGATAAAACAGCAGAAGAACCTGGCCATTTTTCTTTACTATGTCCGACAGTTTTCGGAACAGAATGATCGACATCAACAATCTGTCTGCCTATGACAACAGTTCTATAGCGGAGAACGCTGGTGGAAAGTTTAAGGATTTCCGCAATGTTGCTGACTTCGTTCTTGGTATCCTATGTGTGTTACTCATACCTTGTATATGTTTCGGAAACTTCCTTGTGATTATCTCGTTGGTGAAGTTCCGACGGTTACGCACGATTACCTATATATTGGTGGGGAGCTTGTCCGTTGCTGATTCCTTACTAGCGGTCATCACCCTTCCAGTTTATTCACTATTTTATTTCAAATTAACATTTGTGCAATCGGTGAAATATTTGTGTCTATTCAAGTTTTCCTCAGTATGTGCTTCCATGAGTGCTTCTATGATAAACCTGGTTGCCATTGGTTTTGACAGGTATGTGGCCATTTTGCATCCACTTAAATACAAGACAATTTTGACTCACAAGAGAGTGCGGATCTTTATCGTGTGTATGTGGATCTACATTGTACCAGTATGCATTCTACCTCTTGTCTGGAATTCTTACGATGAAATACAAATATGCGACTACTTCAAAATCCTGCCATTAGCTTACACCTTATACGCTGCTTTCTTTTCCATTGGCATCAGTCTGGTATTCTCTCTCTTCTTGTATATCAGGATATTCCTTGTAGCCAGACAACAGCAGAAGCAAGTACGCAAGGACAGCTTAAGAGGAAACCATAGAATAGATAAACAGATGGAAAAAGATACCAACTCTGCAAAAGTTATGGCCCTCGTTTTGTTTCTGTTCTACATATTCTGGGTACCATTCACCATAATAGGACCGATTAAATACAGTGTGAAAATCGACAATGACTTGTCGGAGACATTGAAAAACATAACTTTATTCCTGGCTATGAGTAACTCAATGATCAACCCGATCATATACTGCTGGCTCCGTAGAGAATTTCGCGAGGCTTTCCGTGCCATTTGTATAGATTCGTGTTGCTTTAATATAAAAACCAACCGAAAGGAAAGTTTTGGAAATTCTCTACTGTTTAATAGCATAAGTGCAGAGCAGAAAGAGGAAGCAAAACCTTAGACAGACAAATGAAAATTGATCATTGTATTTCATCTGCTTGTATTATTGTACTGTACTTTTGAAGGGTTTTACCTATATTTCCATTATTTGGCCCCGCCCCTCTGACCCCAGGGGGGCCACACCCACTGTTTGTACAAAATCTACTTGGTCGTTCAAGACTAGTAGCGTTTTAAAGGAAAAGTTGACGGACGACCGACAGACGACGGACGCTGTGTATGGCATAAGCAACGAGTCTTTAGTACTTTCATCTCTTCTAGGAGATTCTTCAGATGTTCATTTGAAGTATATGTTGTGACGTCATAAACTATGACGTCACATAATAGCTAGTTTGCTATAACAACATCCGCCATATATCATCCCACCATAACAATATCACAGCAATATAAATATATTAATTATAGTCCTAAGGCAAAGAGTACTATTTGTTTAGGATTTAGATAAACTGGTAATTAGTAACTATTTTATTTCAGTAAACAAGAGGCCCAATGGGCCTGCATCGCTCACCTGGTATAAAACTCACACTTGTAACCTTAAAAGTGATCTAAAATAAAGCTACAGGCAAAATATCAGTATTTATGATTAAAATTCATTTAAAAGACCCTGTTAATTTTTTTTAAAACATTTCACCACTGTGATTGAAAGTCGAACAAAGTCATTATGTTGAACACATTGTATAGCCTTTCATCTC